ATGGTATTCTTCAATTTAACATAATTTTATAGATATTAAAGTTGGTTTTACACTATTATAACAAGTCTGAACTAACAATATAATAAATGCAGTTTCAAATTATTTGAACAAGCTGCAAAAACATATGTGAAGATCCCTTTTCTAGGGGCAGTATCGTATTTAACACTAGGTGTTTCTCCATTCTGTGTGACATCTGCTGTTGTATGGGCTGTTTATCGCCGTTTTTCTTTTGCTTGGATAGGCCAAGATATACTTGTAAGTTTAATCTAATATTATCTATTACAGTATATATTTCTTTTAAATGTTTTGAATTTATATGCAACTTCGAAAGAGATGAAATAGTTACATAGAATAAAATCTTTTTTTTTTTTTTATCTCAATTTTTACATCAGGGCGTCGCATTGATTATCACAGTAATCCAGATAATCCAAGTGCCTAATCTCAAGGTAATCATCAAAATTTTGTTTTTTTTTTTCTAAGTAAGTGTTGTGTCTTTTAAGGTGATTAATTAATTAATTTTTTTTATTTGATGAATTTAGGTGGGAACTGTTCTGTTGAGCTGTGCGTTCTTGTATGACATTTTCTGGGTGTTTGTATCAAAATGGATGTTCCATGAAAGTGTGATGATAGTGGTGAGTTTTCTTATTTTGAGTTTTAAACTAGAAGATTATTAGTAATTATTTATTTAATAATGAATTTACAGGTGGCTCGTGGAGATAACAGTGGTGAAGATGGGATTCCCATGCTGCTGAAAATCCCTAGGATGTTTGATCCATGGGGTGGCTACAGCATCATTGGATTTGGGGATATCATTTTACCAGGATTATTAGTAGCCTTTTCTTTAAGGTTACAACAATTCACCATTCTACTTTGAAAAATTTATCCAATTATAGAAATTAGTGATTATAATTTATAAGTCAAAGATTGTTTTGTTGACTTTATTTACAGATACGATTGGTTGTCCAACAAAAGCCTTCGAGCCGGATATTTCTCATGGACAATGATTGCTTACGGATTAGGTACGCAAACTTGTATACATATAATATGCCATAATACCAATCTACTTTTTTTTTTTTTTGACAATTAATTTAACAAATTATAACATGCAGGTTTACTTATTACATATGTGGCTTTGAACTTGATGGATGGACATGGTCAACCAGCTTTGCTTTACATTGTTCCCTTCACATTGGGTAGGTTTAGTTGGAGCCCTAAGAATGATAATGTACAAATTTATTTTTATAGTTAATATTTGCAGGGACTTTTATAACATTGGGAATGAAGAGAGGTGATTTAAGACATTTATGGACAAGAGGCGAACCTGATAGGATTTGCCCACATGTGCAGCTTCAACCCTCCTCTGAGTCTCAACACTAGTACTGCTTACTAGTTTTCCTAAGTGTATGTAGTTTATGACAATCTACAACTTCCATTACAACAACTACAACCGACTAATGCATTGTCCCGATTGTGTAATGCATTAGAGAGTTGTACGTCTTGTAGCGAAAGTTGTATATTGTTATGGATTTTATTTGTTTATGTATGCTCTTACAAGATTTGTTGCAAGTCCTTTAATCCCAAGCGTAAATAGGAAATTTAGAGGATAATGCGTTAATTACTTGTACATATAGTGCCACATTGGTTTAGATTTTGGTCGCTTTTAGCCTTCTATTAAAGCACCTCCCACCTCCCAGTGGAGGGCAACACCTTTTTTTTTTTTTTTTTTTTTTTTTTTTTGCATTTTATGATAACCATTTATTTTTCATTGAGTGGTTTTTCTTTTTTTGACACTTAACTTTTTTCCTTCAAAAATATTTTCATTTTATACTCTTAAGTCGTATTTTAATATTAATTTTTATTATATTTTAACTCATTAATTGAATTTACTAAATATGTAAAATATGAGACCTAAGTTCAAATCATAGGGCCTTCATGGGTGGCTAGAAGGGTAACACAAGTTTGCTTACAAAACAAGGCAAGCTGTCTTTATATCTTCACCAAATGGTGAACCACCTTCAAGGGAGCATGTTTTACAATATATTTGTTTTTCTTTTTAAATATATGCAAAATAAAATTGAACCTCTTATGTGCAAAAAAATATCGTTAAAAAGCCTTTATCAAAGACTATCAAAATTGACATTATCAGATATTAAAAACTATATATGAGAGGTTCTTAAAAGAACAAATTAAAGGAAGACTACAAAAACTTCACATAAATGAATATAAATGTTCAAGTGTAAAAAAGAAAAATGTATTGACGAAGATATATAAAGATAGATTTTGTTAAATAAGATTAGAAAATGATGAAACAAAAAAAATCATTAAAAGCCGTTGTCAAAGGTTATCGCCGAGAGTTGATTTGGAGAACCTTGAAAGCTAGAAGCGTCCCCAGGAGATATGACGTGGCTTTTTGCGATATGTATTGTCGGTGTTTACAACGTGTGCAGACCCTAGTCGGAAACACAAGTTCTTTCTTGGTTGAGGTTGTGCTACACCAGGGTAAGACTCTCAGCGTGTACGACTTTGCCTTGATCTTAGGCAATGTATCTTATGAGATCCAAAGGGATATGCATTGGTGTATGTTTTTTTTTTGGCAGATGACATTGTTTTGGTAGTCTATTTTAAGATCAATTTGAAAATGACTATAGATCAACACGTTTAAAACATAGTACCTTTGGTTCAAATTTAGTGGAGAGTTGGTGTGGAGGTAAACGTCACCCTTTGCATTAAGGCGGGTTTGTTAAAGTAGAGGGCGGCTATCGGAAATTTGTGTGACAAAAAGGTTCCTTGAAAATGAAGGGAAACTTTTACAAGGTGGCTATTAGACTGGTCATGATGTATGGATTTGAATGTTAGCCTAGCAAAAAGGACGGTGAGAGGAAGATGAAAGTAACATAAATAAGGATGTTGAGGTGGATTTGTAGTAGAATTTTGTTAAATAGGATATCGAATATTGTTATAAGAAAATCGTTAGGAGTGACATAGATCTTATAAAAATTTAGATGACGTTTGAGGTGGTATGGGGCTATGAGCATGTCTGAAGGAGACCAATAAAGAGGATAGAGCCTATGATGTTTGATGGTAAGAGGTGACGTTTTAGGTGGATAATGTGAGACTAAACATGAAGAAGCTTGTTCATTCCGAGGACATGGCTTCAGATATAACGATTTGGAGGGTAAACATGAGCAGGCTAGCATCATTGTCGTTTTTTTTTCTATCATGATCATTAATATTGAATTATTGATATATGCTTCCTTTCGTATAATTGTTTGTTATTTTATTCATATATTTTTTGTTGCTTATATTAACTTATTCCCCTTGCTTTTGTCTCATTTTCAGGTATTGATATATACTTCATTTCGTATAGTTGTCTATTATTTTAATCATGTATTTGTTTTTATTGTTTATATTGACTTACTTCTCTCGCTTTTGTCTCATTTGTAGGTTCGTGAAGTCTTTTTGCTTTTATTATGATTTATCTTTGTGCCTATCTTATTGCTCACTTTGACTGACTCTCTTCTTCTTATTCTTGTTTTTCCTCATTGACAGACAAGTTCCCTTGCTTTGCACATGTCGGAAGGTCATCTTTATGACATAGGTGTTGTTTGTTTTTTTAAGCCAAAATGTCTGCAGTCTGCGGACCACATCTGCAAGCCTCTGCGGCAGAAGAGGTGGACCAAATGTCTGCAGTCTGCAATAAGAAGACTGTTTGTTTTTAACGTCTGCAGCTGTTGAAATAAATTGATTTTTCAAATAATTTCATGTCATAAACATTAAAAATGCATTTTCAGCAAAAAAAGAAAGAAAAAAAATAGCACGAAAGAAAAAAAATAGCACGATGGCCCATGTTTTTTTTTTTTTTGGTTTAGGTTAAAATGAGGTCTGAAGACCATTGAAGACAGTGGCCCATGTCTGCGCCAGGAAGACCTCGCGCAGACGTTTTTTGATCTGCTCACTTCCAAAAAACAAACACTCTGCGAGCGCATATGTCTGCGCGGCGTAGACAAAAGTGGTTGCGCAGATCTTCACAAAAAAAAAACAAACAGCCCCATAGTCGCTTCTCTCCATGAAGAGACAGACAGGGGCGGTTTTGTATGGTGTCCAATAGTGGCGTCGGCAACGTCTAACTTGCTTGTACGCAGTGCAACAAATTCGATTTTTTTTTCTATAATTGTATTCACTATGTAAAAAATTTGTGCAACTACGTAAAAATGTCACTCTAGACTGCAATTTAAAATCCCAAAATTATTATTAGAAACTCAATGTTTTAATCCAATTCGGTAATTAGAAGAAGAAAAAAAATTGCAGTGGCATATTGAAGAAAGAAGACTCGCTGCCGGTCACTGCTTTTTTTTCGCTCGCGTTGTTGCCTTTGCAAATCGCACTTCTCACCTGGCTACATCTTTTCAACTTGGCGACTCCAAGCTCGAAATTGGGTACAAAATCAACTTCCTTTACACTCCATTGATGGAATTGATCGTTTTTATGTTTTTATATTATGTTTCACCGCATAAAAAAAAAAATGTCACACCTAATATGAAATCCTGTGTCCACCTTTGTGGAGAGAATTTTGACATCTACCTACCCTACCTCATTATAATAATAGGATTCCAACCTTCCGAGGTCTGTTGTCATTGGTAATGAGTGGAATTGAGAAAGGATCAAGGAAAAAAAATCAAGTGAACACAATTTTTTAATTTTAAAAGAGCATAAAAAAAATTGATTATCAAAGACATAAAAAATAATCTTTCTTTTCATCGGATACATTTTAACCATCATAACAATTAAAACGAGACATTCAAGGTACAGGATTAGAACTTAAACTCAGTTCTAAATCCTAACACAGCGTATTAGACAACCTACTTTTTTGTCATTATATGGCAATGGTTACTTTTATCCTGCTGTGAGCTAGTCTGGAGGTTTTTTAGCAAGTAGAATTTGGTTGTTTATTTTTAAAACACCATTAAATAATAGTACAAACTTGAACTTGAGATTATTATCCAACCAAAAAAAAAAAAAACAAATCAAAATTGCATGCATGCATCATTTGGGTTTTCACAAAGAAACGTCATTAGAGGTGACTGGTGAGGTGAGGTGAGGTGGTTTACACTTGAGAATAATCCCAATTCCCATGGCATCCATCCATCCGTACATTTCTACTCTTTTTTTTTTTTTTCTTTCTTTCTTTCTTTAAGGTCAAAATCTGAGTCTCCCTCCTCTCCTCTCATCACTTCTCATGCTTCTCCATCTCCAGCCTTGTTGAATCTGTCCATTAGTAATTATATTTACAGTAACAGAATTAGCAAAAGTCTTAGATTTTGTTTAATGGAGTGTAGTAAAAAGTTTAAAAAGAAAGGTACTTGAGAATTTTGCTGAGCAACCATTTCCATTTCCATTAACAGAAACAGAATATAAACTTGGCCTCCGTTCTTGGCCTAGAGATAGAAGCTCTTGCACTCTCTCTGGCCAATCAGAATTCAACCTTCGTGCAAAGTCCTCCACTTCTCTGACAAAACACCAATCATACCATTCTACTTTCAATTTTCAAATTCAATTCACTCTAAGAATAAGAATAAGAATATTAAATAGAAGTACCTGTCAATTTGCTCTTTTATTTCAGGATCTATCCCATCTCCTATATCACAATCATCAAATTCATCATCAAGTCCAAATCTATCATCTTCTGAATCTTGCAACTTTAAAAGCTCGTTGATATTGGGTAGACAACGACTTTTCACCCTATTATCATCATCATGCCCCACAGAACCAATACCATTTGATTCCTGTAAACATAACACACATGTCTCTCTCTCTTTTTTTTTTTTTTTAAATGAGGAACTTGTTCAATCGCTTTGTAAAGAATAAATTACGGTTATGACCTTGGTGGCATTGTCTGTAGATGAAGCATCTGAAATAGCGCATACAGAAGCATTATTCTTATGTTGCTCCTTTCTTCTTCGGTTTTTCTTTTTGCTCTTTGCTGTTTTTACTTCTTTTGACTCTGCAATAATAATGAAAAACATCAAAATATAAATGCAATTCAAGATCAGATAATAAAATTGTCATTTTAACAAGTACATCGCCACCAACACAACACTTAATAAATAGATAAAAACTATAGAAAGAGAAGCAAGTACTCATACTGATGCTAGGGAGGTACCTCCATTTTCTCCATTTATAAATGACAAAAGTTCATCAACTGATCGATCATCTACATGCTCCGCTTCCACCTCAACATTCTGAAAATCCAAACCCAACAGAAAGGGCATTTACGTCTTTTTCAACAACAACTCCATGTCCCAAATAGTGCCCATGTTTTTGGGCAGGACAAAAAATTGCAACTTTTTGTCCCACTCACAGTCCAAGAACAACTGTGATGTCATGTCTTGTCATACTGACAAACACGAAAAAAGAATACTTACCTTAAAAGAAGGGCATTTATGTCTTTTTCACAAAAAGAGAAATTTAAATCCCTGACTGTTCCACCTTTTTGGGTAGGACAAAAAATTGCAACTTTTGTCCCCAATGACATCAGTCCAGGTACAACAAACACACACACACAGTACAACCTGTTATGTCATGTCTAGTCATACTGACAAACAAGGAAACATTAATCACCTTAAGTTTCTCTTTTTCTTTTAGTTCTTTCCTCTTTCGTGCATAAAGTCGATTCAATAATCGTATCCGAGGATCATCAGTTATATTTTTCAAAGGCTCTAACTTTTCTTCCTGCAAGAAATTGAAGATTTATTATTACTAAATGCTAATAAAGCATATACATATGTCATATCATAAATATATACAACAAACACCTCTGTAAGATCATCGGGTATATGAAAAGTTTCACGGATTTCTTCAGGAGTTTTTCCTTCAATCATTCTTGCAAGTGCCCGACTTGTAAGATCAACTAATGGCTTTAATTGTAGGCTGTCAGCAGCAGATGTTAACTCACATAGCCGATTTGTGTCCATCCGAATGAACTTCTCATCAAATGACTTCCGCTCCTATACAAAAAAAAAATGTACTTTCTTTACTTGTGCATTATTATTATAGCATGCAACTCTTATTTCTTTCTATTACAGCATTCTACTTTCAGTTATTTATTCTAATCTGGAGATTGTACTTTGCAAAATCAACCTTATTTATAGAATTCAAAGTTGATTTGTATTTGGATGACATTGCTATAACTGAGTAGATTTTTCAAAGTACAATGTTGTACTAGGAAGAAGTGAAATTAAGATGCTATATAAACAAATCAATGGAACTATGTTACTATTTAACCCTTGAAATAATCATCCAACTTCTTCAATAAAACATTTAATAAGGTTGTGAACACTTGGTATATATAAATTGGGCAATTTTTAAACATTTGACCCGTGTCTTTTTTTTCTTCCCAAAATGGTTTTTTTTTTTTTTAATTTGATGCATACCTTATTTGAGCGGCCTGGTACTTGATGGAATCGGCAATAATCAAGGATTAAACTTAATGTGACAGGATTTACTCGTGCTGGAAGAGAGATTGGGTATGTTTTTGAAGATCCCATGCCTGCATGTATCTCATGACATATCAAAGGACAAAATATAGCAACCTCTTGTTCCACTTGTTGAATCGACCCATCAGCAGTTTGAAGCCATATATAAGACTTCATCATCTAAAAAAAAAAAAAAAAACATTAGAATTAAATCATTGTGCCACATATGTACTTCGTATGTAAATCTGAACACTTTTGGGATTCACAAACCTTACAGAAATTTTCAAAACCCCACAAGTCTGGTACCACATAGTACATGATTCTTTTGCCCTTTCGGGAAATTAAAACCCATAAAAAGCAAAGGTATAATTTGACCTTGTTTTCATGTTAAACCAGATAGAAAAATTTTGGTCGCATATCCCGAAAACCAAAACCGGAATTTACAAAAAGTTGTAGACAAAATTTATGAGCTGTAAACATGATATGATGCTTTCCTGGTTTAACAACTGATTTATGATCAAGAAAATTTGTAAACATTATTGATAGGGGTGGGGTAATCACCTATTTATGCAACAAAGTTACAACTTACAACTTTTTACCAATTTTATGCAATAAAGTGAATTTCTTGTCAATTTAAGCATTATTTTACAATTTTGGTTGCATATATTGGTAAAATAATTGTTAAAAACTTGAAACATGGCTGCATAAATTGCTAAAAAATCCACTTTGTTGCATAAATGGGTAAAAAAGGTGCAACTTTGTTGCATAAATAAGTGATTAGCCCATATTTATAACTTGTGAACAGAACTTTCATGCTTTCATGGTCTATACAACTGATTCATGATCAAGAAAATGCATTGACTGTCTGATTTCATAAGGTTGAGGATTGAAAACACATAAACGTTTCTATGTATGATATAAAAAATGGAATAATCTTGCCAGACATCATGTGTTAATTTTGCTATCCAACCAACATCCCATTTCCATTTTCTTACAAAAAAAAATGCTAACTTTTAACATCAAAGGTCAGAAGTATCTTTTCCGGTATGAAGGCAGGATAGAGTAAGACAATAACCTAGACCTCCTTACACATATAACAAACCTAAAAATAAATACTTTTGGAAGAGCCAAAAGGATAAAGTACAAAACAAATAAATAAAAAAGAGGGTGCATATAGAAAAGAAGGGAATAACCATATATGATACCTCAGGTTTGATTACATCCGGCTCTGACATTATGTCAGGACGGTAGATAAGCAACAATCGGATGACTTACTGATAAACTCTAACCTGTATTCAATATTTAAAGTAAGAAATTTTAGTGATTAGATAACAAAATTTAGATATAACACCAAACTCAATCGTTAACATGCAAAACTCTAGACATGGTCGCTTGTTCATTATAAATTTAAAAAGACCCAATTCATTGTGAGTGGATTGAAGAGAATTCCGATCATTTTAGTCTCTGATCAATTGTAGCAACTAAATAACCAGTCATTTGGCGGTTAGTGCAAAACCCTAATGCTTCGGGTACAGAACCCTTGTAACCAGATTATTCAGCAAATAATACCATGTAGATAACATAAAAATCATTCCTTTATCGATGCAAAGCCTAAACCTAGACCTAAACAAACAGACACTAAATTTTGCCGGAAAAAAAAAATCAAACCTAATTATTCATCAATTCTGCAAAACCCTAATCCTAGAGCCGCCCATCCATTGCCAATTTAGCAAACAAAGGTTCCTTCGTTCGCTAATTTACTAAGAAAAAAGTCCATTTCAGATAAATAAATAAATAAAAAAAAAACCTAAGAAAAAAACTTCACCGAAGTTCGCGACTATAAACACTGAAAAATCGAGCAACTTATATAGTGATATACATCAATAACACAAACCTAGACACAATCACCAACAGGTTGAAAGAATAAACATTTACACATTTCAATCAACGCGCAATCTCATACATTTGCATAAACAAATACGAGATTACAGTTCTATGTACCTGAGTGAAGATCTAACAGAGATTTGAGAAGACGCGCTTTAAAATTTCTGTGAAATTTGGCGGTTATTAGCGGAATCAATTAATGGATAAGAACGAGAGAGAGGTAATTTTGTGTGTTTTTGCTCTCTATATCTACAAATGGCGATACCCCTGTGTGTGTGATTCAAATTAGGGATAAAAATATAAGGGTTGTCATGATATGAATTGACAAAATTTGGGGTTTGAATTGTAATTTTAGGATTATTCAATTTCTGCCCTTTCACATTTAAACATATGATTTTCCCCCTTTATCTTGTTTATTTTTCCAAATGGGTGTGATAGTAAATAGGTCATATACGCCCTTAGTAAACATCTAAATATCGTATTTGCCCGACCTAAACTCTAAATATCGTATTTGCCCTTGCTAATCTTCTAAAATATCGGATTTGCCCAAATATTTTTTTTAATAGTTTTTAACATCTAATATTCTTTTTCCTATATTCTTAAATTTTTAAAATTAAAATAAAAATTGAATAGACCATAATACCCTTTAATCTTAAAAACCCTTTTGCTAGTTGGTCGTATTCCCCAGAAGGACACTACGCCAATGAATGTCCAAATAGAAAAAAATACCCAGACAAAGTCAAGGTTTTACAAACC